CCCTCGTGCTTCTGAGGTCTAATCATGTGATTTTGTCCCTTTCAGATGGCTTGCTCGAAGATGCAGTGGATGTATATTTCCTTTCTGGTTCTGGGGGCCCTTTGCTTGTATGTTAGCATGTACACTCTGAGTCCTGAGGAGAGGGGACACCAAGACTTTGTTTTCAAGAAAGAGTATAGGAAGTTCCTTAAGGCCCCACATGTGGACTGCAAGCAGAATCCTCCCTTCCTTGTCCTTCTAGTGACTTCGTCCCTTAGGCAGCTGGCTGCTCGCACGGCCATCCGTAAGACGTGGGGCAGAGAGAGGATGGTGAAAGGGAAGCTTGTGAAAGCATTCTTCTCCTGGGGACCACAGCCACTGAGGCCGAGATGAGGGCGGTGGCCCAGGAGAACCAGAGGTACGGGGATATTATCCAGAAGGACTTCATGGACACCTATTACAATCTGACTCTGAAGACCATGATGGGCATGGAATGGGTCCATCACTTCTGTCCTCAGGCCTCGTTTGTGATGAAAACAGACTCAGACATGTTTATAAATGTCCACTATCTGGTAGAACTGCTCTTGAAGAAAAACAAAACCACCAGGTTCTTCACTGGCTATTTAAAACTGAACGACTTTCCCATTCGGAACAAGTTCAATAAGTGGTTTGTCAGCAAATCCGAATATCCAGGCGACAAGTACCCACCGTTCTGCTCAGGCACCGCCTACCTCTTTTCTGGCGATGTGGCGAGTCAGGTGTTTAACGTCTCGGACATCGTCCCATACATCAAACTAGAAGACGTGTTTGTCGGCCTCTGCCTGGAGAAGCTGGGCATCAGGCCGCAGCCGCTGCACTGGGAGCAGACCTTTTTCCCAGGAGGGTTGAAATTTTCCTTGTGCCGGTTTAAGAGGATTGTGGCCTGCCACTTTGTCAACCCGGACGATCTTCTGATCTATTGGCGGATTCTGGAAAGTTCCAAGGAGGGAGACTGTCCACTCATGTGAGTGGCACATCTGGATGGGTTCAGATAAATGCAGTGATGGATTCTGACAGATTCTGGTGGCTGTGATGACAGCTGTCTGGGGGAAGAGAGGGCACGAGGGTGCTATTCTTTTGTGTTCCGAATCGATGCCAGAGCAAGAGCTTAACAGGAGGCCACTGTCAGCTTCCACTTGGTGCCCAGGCAGCGGTAGGTGCCACCTCCTGAGCACCAGCACTGCAGTACCCAGAGTGTGACTCACCTGCAGTTCTTATTTCAGGGCTCAGTATCCGCATAACATTGTGGGTGTCATTATTCCCATTTAATAGGTAAGGAAACAGCAGCCAGGAGAGGGACAGAAACTTGTCCCAAGGCTCGCAGCCAACAAGTGGAGGGGCAGGAGTAAAAGTAGGGTGTGTCAGAGTCCAGAGGGCAGCCCCTGGTCTGGTTCCCCTCCTGTGCCGCCCCCTCAGCCAAAGATGGTGATGACACAGCCTATGAGGGAAGCCTCCCAAGGGCATTCTTCAGTCTCTGTCGGGGTCCCCTCTGTGCCAACACCCCAAGTGCATGTGCTTTTTAGTGCTGAGACTGGGATGAGCAAATCCACCCAGTCCCTTCATCTCTGGGAATGGATATAGCTGGGCCCCAAGGCCGTGTTAGCAGCTTGGTACTGGACACAGCCCAGGGCAGATTAGGGGCCAGCAGGGGCCGCAGCTCACCTGCAGAGAAATGCCCGGCTCTGCAGAAATCAGTTTTTACAAATTTATAACTTAGGCTCAGAAACCACTGCAGTCTGGCCACTTTCAGGCAATCCCACTGCTGACTCTCAGCAAGCAGGAGGTGTCCCCAAGCCACCTGTCACTCCTGTCCCTTACTTCCATTTGTCTTGGAATGACAGAGGGAAGCCCCAGCCCCAGGAAACTTCAGGTCTCTCAGTTCAAACCAAAGGGCACGATCCATGCGGGATTCTGGGTGCTTTTCTGGGAATTCAGCTGTCTCTAAGTCAAGATGCTCTCAGGTCTTGGACACAAAGCCCCAAGCAAGCCCTGGTTGGGGTGGTGGTGGGGGGGCGTATTCCTGGGTCCACTTCCTAGCCCTGACCCATGCTCATCCTCATTGCATTTCTCATTTTGCCAAGAACAACTGAGCTCTGTGGTTTGCCATTTGGCCTTCGGTTTTCTTCCCCCCGGAGGTTCGTGCAGGCCGGTTTTACAGGTTGTTTAAGGCACTACCCTTCAGCCACTCTCATGTGATGTGCAAAGCACTCTCGCTCTTAATCCTAGGAATGGAGAAGACATGGTTAAGAGTGATATGTTTCTTTAGAATGTGTAAGAATGGTTGTTTTCTATTGCTTACTTTTCTAGATTTTACTAAGTGCTCAGAGAAAAGGCCTCCAGTGGCTACATCACTTATCAATGGTTGAACTCAGGAAAAGTTATTTGCTGCAAACATTCATGATGGCCTTAACTTGCCAAAGTAGGTCTGGTGTCCTGCTGCTCAGTTTCTAGCATGTAGGTTGAGCTGCTGCTTTGCAGACATGTTTCCTCGTCCTGGCTGCTCTGAGTGCACAGGGTCAGGTTCAGCAAAGCCGCTTTCTCAGGTGGGAACATCAGAGATTGTCTTGTCACACCTCTGCTCTGTAGGATGGGCTGCCTCTGATTCTGGAGACACCCGCATGCTCTGGGGGTGAGGGAGCCCTTCTGGTGGCAGGCCTGGGTCTGGGCTTAGCTGTCCACCATGCCCCGTGTGTGTCTCTGATGACCCCTCTCTACTCTGACCACTGTCTGATAGGACCCTTCTCTCATGACCCCTGTCTATTCTGAGTGCTGGTGCAGCCTGGACTTGGCCTGGGCTCACTTTTCGTCTCTCTTATTTCCAGTCTTTGGGGGCTCATCCTGTTTTGTGGTTGTAAATGTCCTCTGTTGACAATATCCCCATTTATCTTCAGCTGACGACAACTTCCTTGCTCTTCAGTCTTATATACCCCACTGCCTACTTGATTTTGCATAATGAGCAAATCTAGTGCTGAACCTCCAGCCCCTGCCCAGTCTGCTCCATCTGCAGCTGCCCAGCTTGCTTTGTGGCCACTGCATTTTCCATCCTTACCTCACCATGGCTCAAGTCAAAAACCTTGGAGCCATTCTGACGCCTTTCCCTCAGTGGGCATCAGGAAGGGCTGCTGGGTCTGCCTGCCGGTTGTGTCTGGAAGCCGGCCTCTTCCCACCCCTCCAGGGTACCGTCCTGTCCAAGCCTCTGGTGCCGCCCACTGGCACCCCTTCAGTAGCCTCCAGCCTTGTCTCAAGAGTGGACCTTTGAAAATCTTTGCTTAAAACCCTCCCATGGCTTTCCCATGTCTGAGCAGAAGCCGCATCCTTCATACCTTTGTCTGCCTGTTATTCCCCCAGCTCATCCTGTCACACCTCTCTTGCTCCTCTGGCCTCCTTGCTGTTCCTGGAACAATAAAAACCATACTATGTCAACATTCAGGGTTATTTTTTTAAAAAAAGGACTGGCTAGGTGTGATGGCTCACGCCTATAATCCTAGGTCTCTGGGAGGCCGAGGAGGGCGGACCCCTTGCTCAGGGGTTGGAGACCACTCTGAGCAGCAGCAAGACCCTGTCTCTACTAAAAAGAGAAAAACCTAACCTGGTGTTGTGTAGGTGCCTGTAGTACCAGCTACTCAGTAGACTGAGGCAAGAGGATTGCTCAAGTCCAAGAGTTTGAAGTTGCTGTGAGTTATGATGCCATGGAACTGAACCCAGGGCACAGAATAAGACTCTCTAAATCAGTGGTTCTCAATCTTTCTAATGCTGCAACCCTTTAATACAGTTCCTGTGGGTCGCGACCCACAGGTTGAGAACCACTGTTCTAAATAAATAAGTAAACAAACAAACAAACCAGGACTGCAAGGGCAGTCAGCTCCCTTAGGCAGGTGAATTCTGGAGCCGGGGCCACGGCTTGGTGTCCTGGGACCTGGCTGGCCCATGCGGGAGGAAAGTGGACAATGCACAGGTTACCTGGCAGGGCAGCACCTGACGCAGAGCTCATCTGCACTGAAGGGGCTTGGCTGCTGCAAGGCAGGTCTTAGTTGAAGAGGCGGCTTCCCTGATAAATAAGCCTGCTGTGTAGACTTCAAGGACTGTGTTTCATAATAAAGACAAAAGGTTAATTAAATACATCCTAATTGAACTCAGAATCTATATATATGCTGTGGTAGGACACAAACTATTCTAAATGACATTTTGATTTCATAAAACGCAACACATGCCTTTTATTTTATTACTGAAAATTGCCTTCCTGTCTGTCTAGTCTCGACAACCTCTGAGGTGGAAACCCTAACGTCATAGCTGCTTTCCCAGACTGCACTTTAGTCCACAGGCATGATGGGTCTCGGATTCTCCACCCCTATTTCTGAAGGTGATGACAGCTTAAATAAAAAGTGAAAAACTGGTTTCTGATGAAAGTAGAATTGCTTACCAAGGACCATAGGTCTGGTCCCACACC